AAATGTGTCAAATAATATAAGCTCGATCGATTGAACAGCATGCGAAATATTCCGCTACTCAGATAATTGCGAACAGAGTTATTATTGCGCATCTAGGTTTTAAAAATTTTTTGACCTCGTAATGATCGAGTAAAGGAACAGGCGTAATGGTTATTACCAGAAAGTCAAAATATTATGAAAAGGTCTTTTCTATCAAATAATCGACTGAAGGGAGAATTGAACAACGAACCTGTTTCACTCAGAAATTTGTCTTGATAAATCCAAGAGAAAAGATCATTTAAAAAGTTGAGATCATTACCCAATCAAACCTAGATAATATTAACATATTTGAAAGGTATCGGAAGGCGATTGATGTCGCATTAAAGGAGAGAGATATCTCAAAAAATCAACCTCTCACTTCCTAAAGTTCGGAAACCCCTCCGAAGATTATCGATTATTCACCCGAAGGAATATGATGAACTCTGCGCTTCAATAACACTAGCGACAGTAGTTTTTACAGCGACAGAAGGATACAGGGGAATTTGTTTTGTTTAATGACATCTGAAAAGTGATAATTCATTGTCTCATGTAACCCTGAACTGATTATATGTAAAGAATTTGAATAGCAGGTAATAAGAGGGTTTTGGTCCTTGCATCAAAGACACGCAAACCTCTGATTACTTAGACGTGATAATTGTCTTAGGCTCATGGTCAGTTATTACAAAAGCAACCGGAGTAACAGATCAACCATCTCTGTTACCGGTCACATACACAAAAATAAGCCTGAAAGGCTATCAAATTACCTGGTCGTCATTTCGGACCTCTTCCTGGTGTTGTTTTGTTTTTTGTTAGAAAGGCTTGTATAAGAGCTACTAGCGCAGACATCACTGACATTTTACCCATTTCACTCAACTTGTTTCCCACAAGATTCACCTGTTAAGGTATGATTTAATCGAAATGAGGAATGCTATACTCCTGCAATTTAAACTACTTTATTAAACGACGTGTGATAATTCTTTTTCAGGAGCCACTTCTATAGGCGATACAATAATTGTCGTTTAATAATCTGCCCATGCCCACTACAGACTATAAATAAGCTCTCTTCT